AAAGAAAGCAATTAAATAAAGCTTGGGTTGCCTCCCAAGAAGCGCTTCTTAAACATTATTAGCTTGACGGTTTTATTTTTAAAAGAAACTCCTTTAGGTGCTTTCCAAGGAAGACACCTTTAGAGGGTTTGAAGTTGCAAAGAAGAATGAACTTAAAATGCTTCTCAAGAAACACCCCCTTTAATTTTGAAAAAGTATTAAATAAGGGGGTGATGTTCAGGAGAGTAAAAGATTGATAAATTAAGCACAAATCCTCTCCCGATCCGTTGAGAAAAGAGGGTGAAAGTGTTCCCCTGGCTCAAATAGAAAGCCCAGCCAATGAGGATGCAAGTCTAAGTAAGAATCGCTAGGCTTGTGCTTAAAAGAAAGAGTAGGAAACTGCAAACCAAGTGTTGGAGCATTAGAAAGCTCCTGCCTCTCAAAGGTATGTAATGAAGACTCTACGCTCAAGCATCCCTTAATCGTCATAGATGGATCGGGAAATGCCTCAAGAAGTGGAGGTTTGGGCTCATCCCTAAGTTGCTCCTCCATGATCTCTCCTAAATCAGATTCCTCCACCACCAGCTCAAAGCTCAAATAGNGATGTATCTTCCTCCATAGGTCCCACTACCTCTCCACTTTGATACGGGTTGAAAAGGAATGTTTGAAGAGCGTAGTAAGGATAGAATGATGGGCAATATAGGTTAGGCAAAGGATATGCTTGAGGCCAAGCAACATATGGACCCATGAAACAAGATGGAGGGTACGATTAGACCTGGCAAAACAGAACCGAAACCGATTACCCGAACCGAAATATCCGAAACCGAAACCGGAATGACCCGAAAAATGAAGATCCGATCTATAACCGAAAACCCGAAATGATCCGAATCGAACCGAAACCGAACTAAATAATTCATATCCGATTTAAATCTGAAACCGATTAGATCCGAAACCGATAATATCCGAACCGATTAAACCCGAAACCGATTAGATCCGAACCCGATAATACCCGAAACCGATAAAATTCGAAACCGATTAGATCTGAAACCGATAATATCCGAACCCGATTAGAACTAAAATCGATAAATTCAGAACTATGTTTGCCTTTCAATTAGCATTTTATATTTTTAAATTTTTACTTTTTATTACCAATTGAACTAATTATATTACTTGCTCATTCCCTCATAAAATGGATTATCTTCTTGAAAAAAAGTACAAAATTTTATGCCTTAAATTTATTATATGTAGAAATTAAAGATAAGTTATACATATAAATGATAATGCACAAACAAATAAAATTTTCGTAATTTTTAAATAGTGAAGTATGATATTCTTTTTGGGATGAAAGAAATATATGATGAATTGTATGGAATAACTAAATTTTATCCTAATTTCATCTCATTACAATAAATTTTATTGATTTGAGAGTTAATTTGATTAGTTTCAAACCAATTCACTCAATATTAGTTAATAAAATTAGATGCTAGTGTTAGCATTTTGAAAAGACTCTCTAGCGGCAGCCTTTACTGTTATCATTTTCAAATTTGATCTACACCATTACATTTAGGTATAAAATTAATTATATTTGACTCTATTAAATTTAATTTTCTCTACTTTCAACCAAATATACTCAATAATTTACAAATTTTGCACTCAATTGAATAAAATTCACTAAATTTCACCCAATTTTACTCAATTTTTACCAAATTATATTCAAATGGAACATAAGACTATTCGAATTTATCTTTTATCCTTTCATTTATATACATAAGTATAATAGTAGATGTGAGAAAAATTTGATATTTCAAAACTAAATTTTAAAATCAATTTAATTATATTAAATTTATATCATAATTAAATATATATGTTTTCATAATTTGTGGTCCAAATTTGTAAAATATGACTAAAAAGTCAAAAAGGGAAGATTATTTAGGGTAGAGATAATATAAATAGAAAAAAATATAAAATAATATGAGGTATTGAATTGATGATAGATTGATAAATGTGATAAAACATAAAAAGAAACACGGATAGTTAAATTTTAATTAGATAATAATATATATCCAAAATATATTTGATCCGAAACCGAAATATATCCGAACCGAACTAGACCCGAAACCGAAATATATCCGACTCAAATTGTATCCGAACTAAAATCTATCCGAACCGATTTATAACCGAACCGTATCTAAACCGACTCGAAACCGAACCGAACCGAAAAATGTATAGAACCGAAATCAAATCCGAACCGAAATTTAACCGATCCGAACCGAACCGAACCGATTATATCATATAACCGAAAGATACCCGAACCGAAAAAATCCAACCCGAAACCGATCCGGTTGATCCGATTGCCACCTCTAGGTACGATGAGGTTGGAGGGTCTATGGGTAGAGGAGGTGTGAATGTTGGATAAGAACAAGGGTATGGAATCTTGGGTTGAGGGAGGGAAGCTTGAGAAGCTTTAGAAATAGTCGTGTGGATAGGAATTTCTTCTAGATCACTAAGTGACCACTCAAACTTTAGAATAATGGGAACAAGGGAGAGACCTTGAGCATAAACTTCATTCTCCAAACGAAGTTCTTCAATGATGGAATAAATATCCTCCATGGTTGCACACCTACAAGGAGAAGAAGAAGAACACAAGAAAAAAATCCAAAATGAACAAACAATAAAAAAGAATGACCAAGTCTCCACTAACAATCTTGAATAAATGTTAGTTAACACAAAGCACTCAAAATCGTTGATATCCCCGGCAATGGCGCTAAATTTGATGCGAGTGATTTCAATAGGTTGTTTGATACCGAAAACTCCCGACCAAAAAGAGATGGAAAGGAAATGAAATATGATAAATGTGGAAAAAGTAAAGTGAGTGAGCAGAGTGGTGGAAGTAAGGATGTCGTATCCATGTGGATAGCATTATTGGTTAGGAATCGAGTGCAGAGTATAACTAAACACTAATCTCAAATTGTTAAACGTGAATCAAGGCCAAATAAAGAGAGGAGATGAACGATATAAAATGCAAATGAATGAAACTAGACTATGAAATGAACAACAGAATAAAATGCAAGAACTAAATGAAAAGCATGCTTAGATTAAGAATTTCATTCTAATTTCTAATAATGCTATTGCCAATGGAATAGAGGAAAGAGAGAAATCAACAAGGAAGCAAGAAAATCACACTCATTTCACTTCCACGAGAATCGGGAAAGAATCCCCTAGAGAAGAACCCACTTTTGTGGTGCTAGTCTCAAGAGAACTACAAACGGTATAGACAAGCTCGTCAAGTATCCTCCACTTCTATGGTAGGTAGGGGTGGGCACGGATCGGGACGGTCCGGATTTTAGGTTGTTCCGGTCTTGTCCCGTTATATATAAACGGTTCGGATTACAATCTTATCCCGGTTTGTCCCATAAAATTCGGGATCGGAACAAACCGGGACGGATTCGGGTCGTCCTACTTTGTCCTAATCCCAAATATAAGAGGGGGGTACTCAATCCAAAAGTCACAAAATGTCATAGATAAAAGTCATTAACTTCCTAAGACATCTAAAAACTAGTTGTGTTCATATACACCAAGCAATTAGCTACTGTCATTCAAAAAAACAAAAGCAGTAGGTAGTATTGCAGTAGCCATCCAGCAAAAAAAGAAAGGCAATAGGTAGTAGCCATCCAGCAAAAACCAAAAATCAGCATTTAGATGATCAGTGAGAATCATGGTAGTTAATCAATTGGGCCAAATAAATTTAATAAATTTTGGGTTGAAACTTGAAGTTAACTTAATTAATTAAAGAATAAGTGTATAGAATTAGAATTATATATTAATAAAATAGATAAAACGGGACAAACGGGACGGATCGGTATAAATTTAAGTTGTCCCGCTCATGTCCCATTTGATAACGGGACGGAACGGGTTCGGGATAAAAAAGTTGTGTCCCAATTATTCGGTACATTTACAAAACGGATTCCGGATTTTTCGGAACGGTCCAACGGGAACGGATTTCGTGCCCACCCCTAATGGTAGGACTTGAGAGGGAGATTCACAGCTAGGGTTCTAAATCCTGATTCCTTGGTGATTTAGAATCCATTCCAAAATAGAAGAATGCGATCGTGGCCAACGACAACACCCTAGCAACAATAAGGTCAATCTCCACAAACAACCCTAAGGAGAAATCGCACAATCCATACTAATCCAATGACAACAAACATAAATCAACAATCCATCCCTAACCTAGGCTAGAAAATCAAAAATCAAGTCTCGCATGCTAAATCTAAAGAGATGCATTATGATAAGAGAGTAGTGAATAAATAGAGCATGAAAGAGATGAGGTAAAGTCTATGCAAAAATAAGTAGAATAATCTAAAAAGATGAAATTAAAGTAATGGAACTCCGACTTCAAAAAAAAAGTAATGGAACTCCCAAACTAAAAATACAAGATGATGAAGAAGGTGAAGGAAAATAAACCCTTGTCTACAAATGGGGAACTCCCCTAACAAAATGAATTTAGAGTATATATAGAGTACGGGAAATTGGGAGTTAAAATGACAAAAAAGGGTACATACTAAAATTTGAATAGAAGAGGATCCAAGGGTAAGAGAGTCATTGCACACTCAAAATAAGATCTGGGATTGGTCCTCTGCTTCGTCGCTATTCTCTGTCGTTCACTGGTCTAGTCTTCTGTCGATCCAGATAGCATCGCCGGAAGGAATTACTGGAGTTCGTCCGTGAGAGGAGGAGTTATACCAGTTGTCTCTGGCCTCATCATTGCTGCTGAAAGCCACACCGGAGGTGGACGTCTCGCCTATGATGGTCGTTGTTGCTGGACACTCTCCAGACATACCAGTGATTGTAGGATGAAGAGCTCGCCGTTATGAAGGAAGGGATTGCCGCTGCTGAGTCGGGTTGCCAATACCTCCAGGTCACCCGTCTCTCCCGTCACGATCCAAAAGCCTGTCTCAAACTCGGTTCACTTTTTTTATTTAAGTCATAGGGTATTATATTCAAACCACACAATATAAATATCATGTGCCAAGCATTTCTTACATGAGAGTATAGTTTGATTACAGCTCAGTGCAATATTGGCACTAGAAATGCTTTTGCAGCTTCTCATAGAAATGCATCCTTCTCGAGGAGCTTCAAAACGTCTTGCTGGTTATTCAGTTTCGCCACCTCTATTGGTGTCTTACCGTCCATGTTTTGAAAAGTCACAGCAGCACCGTTCTCTAGCAGAAGAGAAACGCATTCCTTTCTGCCATACCCGGCAGCATAAAAATGGAGAGCAGTGTTCTTGTTCTTGTCCAAAGCATCAACCTTTGCCCCAGCTTCAAGAAGAATTTGAGCACACTTCACCTCCCCATATCCACAAGCAAAGTGAAGTGCTGTCCTTCCTTCTGAATCTTCTTCATCTATATCAGCACCAGCAGCAAGTGCATTTCTCAAACCCTCATCATCACCATTGCCGACACAAATATGAATAATTGAATCATCTTCACTTGCTTCTTCCGTTTCTTCTGCACCATTTTCACCAGATGTGTTTGTCTCTCCAGTAACAGAGAACCCCATTGCTTCACCCAACTTCTGTAGGACATCTTTGTCATTCCAGTACCTCATCATTAAAGCAGGACCCCCACGTTCTATCTCTTCCAGAATAGGACATCTTTGTCATTCCAGTGCCATTCGTTCTTCAAGTTGGTCTTTTTGCGCAGGATTTGACAAACTATCAAGCATGCTGGACATGGAAGGATCCTGCATCAGCGCGTTACCAAGCCGCTCAGCCATTGTCATAAACTGTGGATTTTGCATAACTTGTTGCATAGTGGAGTAGTATTCCTGAGGATCAAATTGAGGGATTCCATCTTCAGCAACGCCTTGAAATGTACCTTGGAGTTGCTGGGCCATCTGAGTGAATGAAGGATCTTTTGCTATCTGTTCGGCTAGTTCTTTAATACTTGGGTCCTTTTTGAGGTGGCAAACCTTTTCCCTCCTGAGACATGGCTAAAGCGAGCAGGGAGAAGAGTGAGATGGCGTTCCTTCTTCTTCGACTAGAGAGAGAGAGAGAGGATATATATATATATATATATATATATATATATATATATATATATATATATATATATATATATGTGAACCCATGGGGTTTCTAGAGAGAAGGGGGGGCAGGGAGCTTTTTCACCGGCGGTGTAGCGCTAACAACGCCGACCACTTCAGGCATGATGGTTTCCAGAGTACGCCGCAAAAGAATTGCAGATTTCCAACGAGTAGAACACAATCGATGGGTTGGGGAGGTGCTTCTAAGAACACCAGAACCAGATGGCGGCCCAGGTATAGGTTTGGAAGACCAAACTCTTTTCGTTACCAAGGTCCTTTTAGAAGCTTTTCCGGCGTTTCAATTTCAATTGAAAGCAAGGTATTTGAATTCCAGGCCTTAGACAACCTTATAATTTCCGAATCCAAGAATGGTATGTCTAGATTTCTTTCTGTCTCGCGTTCTACTGCTCTTTGGCTTTCGGAGTCCCTAAGCCACCCACCTTTGGCTAGAGAAGGTTGGGTAATTTCGAAATTTGAAGGGCTTGTTAAGACAAAGTCCCACTGGGACTCAAACCATTTTGGATCTTTCGTTAGAATTAGCGCGGGAACCGAAGGAGAGAGAGCTAATATTTGCATCCCAGTTGGACGGCAATCTGAAGGCATTAGGCTTTTCGTAAAAGCACTGAATGAAACTTTAAAAATACTAGAAGGGAATGAATATGCTGTAAAGGTTCCCAGGAAAGAAGAAGCTTCAGATTCCCTAGATTTGATAGACCAGATGTTCCAGGTGGAGAGGATTGAGGATGAGCAGCGGTTCGCTTCCATATCCTCAAATCTACTGGTAGAAGATGTTACGCAGCGTTCTACGGTGCCTAAACACACAGAACAGGGGAAAAAAGCTGATCCAGAAGAGATTAAGGAAGATGAAGATGAAGAAAAGAAACTCCAAAAGTTATTTCAACCAGCTTTTGAGGCCTATTTTGAAACACTCTTCAAGACAGTGAAGACGCAGATTCTAGAGGCTTTGGCGAGGACATCACTACTCGATCAACTCAAAATGGGACTTTTTCAAAATATGTCGGGGAAGACAATTAGAGCAACTCGAGAGACGGTGAAAAGCATGGAAAAAGTGACCCTTGTTCAATTTGAAGATTCTAAATACCCAGCTTTCATTTCTTGTTCCAAAGCTGATGAAAGGCTTGTGGCAGATTTTCTAACGGGGGAGCCGGCTGAAGAGTCACATACTTCAATTGGTTAACGTTTCAAACCTATTGTCTAATTACTTTTATGCTTTCAAGGGGAAAGGAAAAAGGAAGTACTTGGTATTTGCTTTATTGTTTTCTGTCTTAAGTAAATTAGGGGAGGATCCAATGAAGCTGGGTTACTCTTGCACCATTTCAGGGCTCTTGAGATTGGGTTTTTCAAGGTTTTATTTGTAGCTTAGGGCTTCTGTTTTTAGAGTGTGCCTAAGGGTTCTATTTTAGAGTATGGGTTTCAGATTGAGTTGGAGCAGCTATTCCAACCCACAGTATACGGGAGCTTGTTTCTACACAACATGTTTCAACTAGTGCTGCTTATTTTTGCAGCAACGTTCATCACTTTGCTAGCAAGGTCCCAACTTTGTTTTCAGGTTTTGGACTTTTTTCCTTGAGTAGGATGCAAAGGATGCTGATTTGATGGTACATTTGGTGGAATCTTTGGTTATATTTTTAAACTACAGAAGGTGTTGCATGGATGCAAATGGGGAAATGGTTGCAGTTGTTTTGGTGTACATCCAGCTACTCTTTCATTTTTAGTATCTAGCAGCTTTCCTTTCCAGTTTTCTTTCTTGGCAGTATTCTCTTGTACTCTTTTTTTTGGATTGTTTTCGTTTGGGCTTGTTGTCGGGCTGGCCACCCCCCCTTATCTTTTCTCCTCTTATTTTAATAAAACTTTTCTTTTATTTAAAATATATATATATATATATAAGGAAAATTTTTTATTTCATACGAATAAAAGAAGTTGTTACATCACATGCAATGGCTCCCCTAGAGCGTTTTGGGAGTGAAACTAATGAATGAAAATTACTAAAGGTATTCTCTTGCAAAGCGTGTTGTGCCAGATGATGTGCCGCCGTATTGGCTTCTCGAAAGATATGATTGACCCGTCCCCCGGACCGATTTATCATTTCTCTTGTCATCCTTGTGAAGAAATCATTGTTGGAGTAGTTTGTTAAATTGTCTGCGCAAATTTTGGAGTCAATATAGAGATTGACCGGGCAGTTAAGAAACAAGCTTCTACGTACTCCTTCGTATGCTGCCTCCATTTCTGTCTCAGCTGGTGGGAGGTTTGGTTGTAGAGGATAGGTCCAAGCAATGAGAAATTGGCCGTGCCTTGTGCGCAGGATGCTGGCTCCAGCTGATCTTCCCTCCCTGATTGCCGCGTCTGCTGTAAGTGTTACTCCAGTGGCTGGGAATACCCATCGATGTACAGTGATTGCGCCCATTCTAATTGAAGGTAAACTGTCATAAATTCTGATATCCGGCGTTGTTTTTCCTTTATGGTGGATGAAAATCCATTCGTAGATCTCTTTTGTGATGATTGTAATTGTCTGTGTCAAGGTGTGTTCTTCTTCCTCGTAGATCCTCCTGTTTCTTTCTTTCCATATCTCATGGGTTATGATTCCTGGAATGATATTGAGGAGTGCTTTGTTGTGCTTTTGCAATGCACCTTGTTTCCACCAATTTGTCAAGTAGGTTAGGATTCCATGGCTGGTATTCCTGCAAATTGAAAATATTTGTTCAAAGTAGTTCCAGATTTGGTTGCTAAAAGGGCAGTTCCTGAATAGGTGGGTGGTAGTCTCCTCACTGTTCTTGCACAAGAAACAAACAGATGGGAGTTGAAATCCCAATCTAGTTAGTGAGTGGGGAAGGGGGAGGTAGCCAAAGCACAGTTTCCAAAGGAAGATAGAGTGTTTAGGGCTTTGTTTGGAGTTCCAGGAAAGTTTGGTGAAGGGGTGAATGGGTTGTTTCTCTCTCAAAGAATTCTTTGCCTTCTTTAAGCTGAAACCAACCTCTCCATTATGCCATAGAATTCTGCCCTGGGTGTCAATGCTCAAGTGGTTATCTGCCATACTATTGACCTCATAAAGCCTTTTCCAGTAGACTGAGTCAATGATTTTTGGGGCTATGGAGAGTCCCCTAGGGTATCTAGCCCTCATGAAGTTTGCCCAAAGGGAGTTGTTCTGAGTATATGTCCACCACATTTTGAAACCATAGGCTAGTTGCAGAGTGTTGAGATCAGTGATTCCCAACCCACCCTCATCCTTAGGAAGGCATAGCTTCTCCCAAGAGGACAAGTGGTACTTCTTGTTGTCTTTGTCATGGCCCCAAAGAAAATTATTCATTTTGGAATGGAGACATTTGATGATGCTCTTAGGAAGTTTACTGCAGCCCAACATATGCAGTGGCATGGTGTTAAGGACATGCTTGATGAGGGTTAACCTTCCACTCTGACTGAGCAGCTTATGGTACCATCCTTTAAGTTTAGTGTCAAACAAGTTAAGGATGTCATTGCAATAGGGTTTTCTGTTGATTCCATGATGGATTTGAATGCCCAGGTATTTGAAGGGGAGGCTGCCTTTGTTCATTCCGAGGATGGTTTGAATTCTTCTTTGGGTAGCCAGGGGGGTCTTCTTAGGGATGTAAAAAGAGCATTTTCCCCGGTTGATTTGTTGACCAGAGCAGTCCTCATAGTCTGAAAGTAATAATTTGATGCTAGTGACAGTAGGGGAATCTCCCTTAGTGAAGAGTATCAGGTCATCAGCAAAGGCAAGGCGGGTTATAGGGGTGTAGTGCCTGCCAAGATAGTATGGGGAGAGGGCTCCAGAAGTAGTTTCCTTCTTGATGGTTCTGCTGAAGGCTTAAGATGCAAGGATGAAGAGTAGAGGGGAGAGAGGGTCTCCTTGTTTCAATCCTCTTTTAGGTTTGAATGCTTTAGTGTGATGGCCATTGATCAGGATGGTGAAGTGAGAGCTGTGGAGTAGGTTCTGGATGAGGGTCTGGAAGGTATTGTTGAAACCAAATTTGTCTAGGACAGTGATAAGGAAATTCCAAGAAATTCTATCAAATGCCTTAGACATGTCCAGCTTGATGGCAAGATTACCCCCTCCCCCCCCTAGATTTGTAGTCAAGGCCATGGAAAAGTTCTTGTGTGAGGAGGACCTGGTCATGGATCACCCTTCCTTTTACAAACCCCCCTTGTTCAGGTGAGATCAATCTGGGAAGAATAGAGCTCAATCTTTGGGAGAGGATTTTGGAGAAAATCTTGCAGCAGAAATTGGACAAGCAAATAGGTCTATAGTCCTCACAGAATTGAGAGTTTTCCTTCTTTGGGATTAGGATGATAGTTGTCTGGGTACATATTTTGGGGATAGGGATCCCCAAGAAAAACTCCTGAACAGCTTTTGTGCAGTCCACTTTGATTTGCTCCCAACAAGTTTTATAGAAATGACCATTAAACCCATCAGGTCCAGCAGCACTGTCTGCTGATAGTGACCAAACAGCTTCTTTTACTTCATTTTCATCTGGAAGGGAGGTGAGGCTGCTGTTGTCCATCTGAGTGATAAGGTTAGGAACATTAGCAGTGAATCTGTCATTGTGGGATTCTTTATACATGAAAAGGGTGTTGTAGTAGTTGAGGATTTCTTCATGGATCTCATCCTGGTTATGAAGACATTTTCCATCTTTAGTCTTGAGACTATTTATCTTTTGCTGGCTTCTTCTTATTTTGACAGTGGAGTGAAAAAAGGCTGTGTTAGCATCTCCTTCTTTTGTCCATTTGATATTTGCTTTTTGTTTCCAGTAGGAGTACTCTTGTTGGCTAGCAGCAATAAGTTTAGCCTTTGTTTCCTGCATGAGAGATCTCATTTCTGGGGTTGGGTCAGTGTCAAATTGTTCTTCAATTACATTCAGTTCTCCTTCCAAAAAACTGACCCTGTTGAATATGTTACCAAAAGTGTTCTTGTTCCATGAGTGGAGGATGTGTCCTAGGTTTTTCAGTTTGTAACCCAGTCCTCTCATCCCTCCACCTACATAGGGGCCCCAGTTATTGCTGACAGTAGACATGAAGCTGTTGTGAGTGCTCCAACAATTGATATATCTGAAGGGTTTGGGGCCAGCAAAATGGAGGTTGCTGAGCTTGATTAAAAGTGGGTTATGGTCAGAAGTATTCCTGGGCAGGTGGTTGCAGGTGATGTCCTGGAAAGAATTAAGAGTATGGTTGTTGTGAAAAACCCTATCAATCCTTCTCCAAATTCTACCTAGGGACCTTACACCTGTCCAAGTAAAGGTAGAGCCAGTGGCAATGGGTGAGATTAGAGAGGCATCCATGATACATTTGTCAAAGTCATGGATGCTCCTAAGGCAAGGGTTGCTAATGCCTTTGTGATGGTCCACTGAGGAGATATATATATATATATATATATATATATATATATATATATATATATATATATATATATATATATATATATATATTTATTTATTTATTTATTTATGAGCGACTTTGTATGTGATGAGAAAGCCTAAGAATGCATTGTATTGAGAATAATTATTTTACAAATTTTAAATATGGTTTGCCTATGCGGGATTTGAACCCACATCTGTAGTACATACTGCTCTACCATTTGAGCTAATAGGCAATGATTTATTTTTTAAAAAAGACTCTCATCTTGCACTTGGACCTATTACATACAAAATTTAATCTTTTAAAATTTGTATCATTTAAAGTTTTCCAAACCCTTATTCAAATGTATCATAGAACATTTTAAATGCATCGTGAATGATAAAAATTCACCATGTAGAATATACAAATGCATCTAATTACTTTCAGGAGAATTTTACCATGTGATAAATGAATATTATTTTGATTTAAGAAATGCACAGTAATAGTAATATGATGCATTATCCTTTTTTAGATTCTAAGAATGCATTGCGTTATTATGTAAATGCATTACACTTATGATGATAATGCACAATAACAGAAACTCATTTAGACTTTATTTATAACGCACCTTGAATTCTAGCCACACAGAAATGCACAGTAATAGTAATATGATGCATTCCTCTTTGTTTTTTTATTGTTCCTTAGCCACACAAATGAGAGAGTGATATTATCCAATTAAATTAGGCACTTCCTCAATGTTGGAACGAGAGATATTTTTCAACATCTAAGAATAACAAAAATCTAAAACTGGTGCTCTGTGAAAAAAACACAAACATTTGGAATTTCAATTGGCTTATGTAATACTCCGTATGAAAAAAATGTGAACATAAAAGTATAATACAGGTGCTTCATGCTAGAAAATAATTAAATTTGATACTTGAATGAGTCAAATACTAGAAAAATACTGTAATAATTTTACATATTAAAGGCAATAGGTCAAACATAAAGACTAGAAATCCAAATTTTCTAGATAGAACAATTGATTGAATGGATTGAAAGATCAAACAAATACTCGTTTCCAATATACAACCGTGTGAATGGATTTGGGAAATCCAGTTAAGATAGAGTGAATATAGAATAATAAAATAAAAAAGCTTTGTGTCGAGATAAAGAATAAACACATACCTGATTTGATGATATAATTCCATGAACCCTAGCAATGGAAGGAGATTGTTGCTTTCTTGTTGAACAGCAAAATCAGAAACTAGGAAAATCACAACAAAGAATTAAGATTGACATCGTAAGAAGAAAAGGAAACAGAAAACTAGAATGGTAGGGATTGAGCGCTGATTTTCCGGAGAGAGTAAATCTAATGTAAAATCCCCAAAATAGGCACCACGTATATGCTTAAAAGTCTCCGTATTTCAACAGATCCAAGGGTTATAAATCATTCTTATTTCTTTCATAAGATCTTATTCTCACCGGAACCAAAATCTATATATATATATATATGTATGTATATATATGTTCTGGTGAGAATGAGATCTTATGAAAGAAATAAGAATGATTCTGAAACATTGGATGGATGCCTTATGATCCGCATAACATAAGGGCACATGTGTATTTTCTTATCTGTTTCCATCTACACTCCTAAAAATCTGCCTGATCACCTCTCTCTCTCTCTCCTTTTGGGTTTCCTATTACACAATCGATCCCTAAATCAAGATTTACATGTCCTTTTAGATTTTAAATATGAAATCCTTGTTTTTAATTTTGCATTATACTTTCTATTTGCACGTCGTTCTCCACCACTTTTTCCTGAAATATGTTCGAAGGAGATGACTGAGCAGGTGGTGCGGTAAAAATTTTGCATTATACTTTCTATTAGGGTCTGGGGTTTAATTAAAGCAATGTTTTTTCTCTTATGCTAGTATTGTATATTTATTGTATTGTTATTTTTTGTTAGATCCACACTTTCAAAATTTTGATGCGAATAACTTGTGTTTGTGGAGAGGCTCCAAATATGCAGTTTGTATATGATGAGTGATATTGTTTGTAGACAATTTCGTGTTCATTTGGGGTAAACATTGATGTATTTGTTTTGTTGTTTTGACTTTTTGTTTGCATTTTTTATGATAATTATGCATTATGAGAGTCATGGTAATGCATGTACATGAGAAGGAAATGCATTCTCATAATCACGGTAAAAAATAATAAATTCTCTTACAGGGGTGTATTCAATCTAGATTTTAATAGATTCTGATAGATTTTTTAGAATCCATGGACTCGGTAAAATCAATGAATTATTTTAAGTTTACGTAGAGTTCGAAAGATTTTAATGTATTTTATTCGAAGGATTTTATGTGATCCTGACATATTGTTTACAATCATGGATTATGTAAATAAACATTTTTTCTTTTTTTTCTTTTTCCTTTGAACAATTTTTCCCTTTCTTTTTTTTTCTTTTTTCTTTTTTCCATTTCCCTTTTTCTTTTTCTTTTTTCCTTCTTCCTCCCGAAGAACCCTAGCCGCCTACCTCTATCCTTCTTTTTTTATTTTCTTCTTTCTTTCCCTTCCTCTTGGATTTTGTTGATGGTTCCGCTGGGGAGTTCAGCAACAAAGTGGTGCCTCTTTTTACGCTCACCTGAGAGAGCTCGAGGATGACGGAGTTGCTGAAGTCAGCTCCGCGGCTGCTAGCGCGGCGGGAGACGGTGGCGTTGGTGGCGGCCTTGGAGAGAGCTTTAACCCTAGCGGCATCCCGCTGCAGCCGCATCTCGAAGAGGGCCGTGGGGTGGCATTCAGTGCATCGCCATAGATGCGGTCGACGTGACGAAGTTTGAGAGCAAGGAAGGTCTCGCCAGATTCCCGCCAAGGAAGGTCTCGTGACTGAGTTTGAGTCCCTGTAGTAGCGGTAGATGAAAACATAGACGATGAAGGAGAGAAGAGTAGGTGGAGGAGTTTTCAAAATCTTAAGCTTTTAGGTGAGATTTGACGATGGATTTGTATTTATATCCAAGGCCTTAAAATCAATCAAAATCCTTATTTTTTTTAAATCTTTGAAAATCTATCAACATTTGAATACCATCATATTTAAAATGATTTTTTAAAATCTAAATTGAATACACCTAGATTTTAAAGTACATTTTAAAATCTAAAATAAATACCTACAGATTTTAAGAATCCAAAAAAATTCATCAGAATCATGATTGAATACACCCCTGCATTCTCATAATCACGGTAAAGAATAATGAATTCTATTAGTGTGCATTCTCATAGTCAAAGTTAATGCATCTGAGCATGAATTTATCCTTGCACAAATCTGATGGACTTGTTTATTTTAAATAGTGAATTTTTTACAAACGATGATACATATAAAATGTTTTGTGATACATATCTAAAAATGGGTTAGAAAAACATTGAATGATGCAAATTTTAAAAAATTAAAATGCATTTTTTAATAGGTCGAAGTGCTAGAGAATAGTCTTTTTGAAAGAAAAAAAATTGCCTATTAACTCAAATAGTAGAGCGGTATGTACTATTGATGCGGGTTCGAATCCTGCATAGGCAAACTATATTTTAAAATTTGTATGATGAGTGATGACGTTGCTGGACATTTTCGTGTTCATTAGGGGTGTAATTGCTGCGTTTATTTTCTTCTGTTGTTTTTACTTTTTGTTTGCATTTTTCTCATACATTGTGCATTATTAGAATCACGATAATGCATTTTCATGAAAAAGGAATGCATTCTCATAACCAAGGTAAAACATTATGCATTTTGTTACTGTGCATTCTCATAATCAAAGTTATTAGTGCATCTCAGGGTGAATTTTTCCTTGCAAATATGGTGCACCTGTATATATTAGACAGTAAGTTTTATGCAAACGATGATGCGTATAAAATGGGTTCCAAAAATGTCAAATGATGCAAATTTTAAAAGATTAAAATGCATTTTTTAATAGGTCCAAGTGCTGAAGGAGAGCCTTTTGAAAAAAAAGTTGTCTATTAACTCAAATGATATAGCGATATGTACTACAAATGTGGGTCGAATCCCGCATATGCAAACTATTTTTTAATTTTTTTTGGTACACTTACTTTTAATATAACACGTTCTCAGACTTTCATCACATATAAAGTAACTCAGGAGTCATTATTAACTAAAAAAAATTATATATCAGCCATCATAGTGTTTGCACAATTTAAAGAATGTATTGTAGCTATATATTAGAATGATGCATGTAGATAAAAAAAGTATGATGTGAGAAAAATTTATTCAATTTCCACTAATTACGGAGTAACTAAACATAATCAATTTCATATTTGGTAAGCAAACAAAAAATTAAACAACGCATGCCGCATGCGTATCTGGACTCTGCATTTTTATGCTTAGTGAGTAAAGACCAATTCGCCCTTCAAACTATTATTTTCCTAAATTGTCCCATTGCATTTATTACTAACCTTATTTACCAAAATCAGTACTCCCATCCTGTAAATAAAAACCAGCCGTCCGATGGATCAAATCGTGTGCTTTTACTTTATTCTCATTTCTTTCACCAAGGCCCATTCTCACAAGAACCGGCCCCTATATATGGTTCAGGTGAGAATGCGATCTTATGAAAGAAATAAGAATGAATCTGGTGCTTTAGATTGTGAGATCTAAGGGTTGGGATTGCATCAAAATTAGGTGCACCAAAATGGTTTGAAAATGCATCACGTCGAAATGCAACAAAATCCTTTGAAAATGCACCATCTCAAAATCAGAGCGCAGGATGCAATCTGAGCCGCACGATGCATCAGATCCAAAGGCTAGATTTTATTCTTATTTCTTTCACCAAGATGCATTCTCATGGTAATAACAAAAAGAGTTTGAGAATGTCTATACTTATAATAGGAAAAATTTATAAACATATCCCCCTTTTCTCCCAACTGTTTTCATTGTTATTTAAAAATATTAATGTTAAAAATTAATGTATTTAAATAAAAATAGAAACATTTTTAATGCTCATAAGAAAATAACATTTTTTTAATAAAAATAGAAACATGTTCCTCTTTACTACTCTCTCCGTTTCTTAAAACCCTTCCTCTTTCATTTTTTTTGTTTTTCTTAAAACACTTCCCTTTGCTATTAAAAACTCACTTTTACCCCTACTTTTTCATACCCTACCTATCACATCATACTTTTTCACTAACAACTAAACTATCACATCTTACTTTTACACATCACATCAAGGGCAAAATTGGAAAGTCAACTACAATTTAACACTTCCTTATTTTCCCCAAAGTCAAAAGAGGAACTCTTTTGAGAAACGGAGGGAGTATTAATTATTAATTAATACGGAGTAGTAACCAAAATTGGTGTAGCCACACTTGCAATTAATTGAGAAACATTTTCCCCCTTTCCCCTCTACTGTTTTCGTTATTATTAAAAAAAAATTAATGTATTTAAATAAATATGGAAACATTTTTAGTACTCGTACGAAAATAGTATATTTTTTATTAAAAATGAAAACATATTCATCTTTCCAAATGACTATTTTTGGTGTTATTAAAAAAACATATTAATGTATTGAAATAAAAATGGATACATTTTTAATGCTCATATGAAAACAGAAATATTTTTAATAAAAATGGAAACATATTCCTATTTACCACTTACCATTAATTGGCATAGCATTTAAATAAAAATGGAAATATTTTCCGCTTCCCACCTTATTGTTTTGTTGTTATTAAAAAAACATATTGATATATTTAAATAAAGGGAGCGTCTAAAATCACACCAGTTGCTTACACCAATTCGTTTGTGGTACCTACAGTGCCTCATTTGTAAAAATGACGGTTCCTACCCCCCTAACCATCCCCCTAAACCCCCCATCCCTGCCACACCCTTGCCCCAGCCCCCCTCCCACCCCCCTCCCTACCCTGGCAGTATACCGCTAGGGAGGGGGCGGGAGGGGGGGCTGGGGTGGGGAGCTAGGGTGTAGATGGGGTGGGGGGTTTAGGAGGGTTAGGGGGGGCTGGGGTGGGGGGCTAGGGTGTGAATGTCTGTACACAATTCACTTGTAAGAATTACAAAAGCACAAATCTTTCTCTCCTTACTCCTAAATTTTTTGTCAAAAAAAAAAAAAGAAAACAGAGCCTAAGCGGAAGTAACCTGACATTCCATAATAATACCCTAATTAAAAATAGAATTGATCAGTGAAAGCATAAGTTCAACTGCACTAGAGGGATGTACCTACCCAACACGGCAACACCAACCAACCAATAAAATCCTACAAATAGGGGGCTGCGAAAAAATGATGGTAAAAAACATAAAGACAAGTGGTAAAAGTTTTTTTTTTTTTGAAAACATAATGAAATGGTGGCAGGAAAAGAAGAATCTGACGGGACACAAGATTGAACTATCAAAAACTAAGCAAGCAACGGGATACAAATGAGTCGCAGAATGTAAATAGCTTTCAATTCATAAGGAATACCTGATTTGTTCCACTTTGGGATAGAGAATAAGTACGGAAGACATATTTGGCGACAATCAGATGTGACAAAGGATTCTGGCGGCCATGTGTTTCAGACTTGGGCCTAACCTCTCTTTCCTTCAGAACTTAGCAAAATATAATTGTTTCTTTGACCAAAAAAATAATAATGATACATAGCAGATGAAAAAGCAATGCTAGAGCTCAATAGTTTTTATTGATAGCAAAGATAAACCACCACAAAGCACAGAGAGGATGATGATGAAATAGGCATTTCCAAAAAAAATAAAATAAAACGGAAAATATAAATGTGTCAATGTGTACTTTCAGGAGAATGATGTATCCGACTTAAGATTACTGACTCCGACTCTACAGGCACCCCTACCCCATACGCCTCATCAGATGAAACAACATTGGGACAAAGCAGAGGAGAGTCAGTTTTAAGGGAGTGATTGCCTAAAGCCTTGCCTGTTGTAGTAGTAGCAGTAGTAGTAGTAGTCAACATTAGCTCACAAGGCTCTCCTCCTCCTTCCACATCGTGCAACATTAGCTCACAAGGCTCTCCTCCTCCTTCCACAGTTGCCGGAGGCTTACCGTCCCCCTCAACACCATGCTCCTCTGCTATATTTGAAACCACATCCACCTCCATGCTTATTACTCTTTCTATTGTTGGTTGCTCTGGGTTTTGTACCATCCCTTCAATCTCAGTTTCTGCTGCCCTCTGAGGACTAACTTGGACCACGGCCCCATGGGGGCATGGGTTAGGATGCAATAATTTCTTGGCCTCGAGTCCACCAACTAAAGCCGCGACCGCCCCTTCAGCAACATCTTCAGATAAAGCTTTTCCTTCATCCGGGGGTGCTAAAGAAGTCTTACTCTGTATGTTTAAGACTTTGACATCAACTCTCTCCTCCTTGTTGTACTGGGAAAAGGCTTTCTGCATTCCAATAGCATAAAAAATTTAAAATAACAAGGAAACATATCATTAGTATCTAGCTAGTAGCTAGTGGCGATAAATAAATCGTGTGGGCCTCTTCAACAGCTTCTTTTGAATCCGCCTCTTCAACAAACTTATCATCACAGTACTTAAAACACGTGCAAATAACAGTAAATCCAAATATAAAATTATCAATGCAGAACTTAGAAGCACACTAAAATGAAGAGTGTACCTCAAGAACAGAAACACTTGAAGCAGCTAAAAGTGATGTATTTGATGATCTACTTCGTACAGCAGCCTTGCCTTCTACCACAGGCTGAAAAATGAATAAATAAATAAATAAGAGAACAAATAAAATAATAAATAAGTATATATATAAGCCATCTTAACTCTATAATTGAAGCATAATTTTTTATGTGCCATATTACCTCGAGATACAACATTTTAGGAGCATCTGCATCAGCCACCACCATGATCTGATCTGTGAGTAAAAGGCTTGTGCATTTTTCATACAATTCTAGTTCAGTAAGATCAGAAGATATGTCGAGTTTGGAAAGGTAGGCCAGGCAAAAACAAGTGTCATCCTTCCTTGACATTTTGGAATCACTACCACATGTTTCATGAGGTAGAATCTTCAAACCTTCTGCAGTATTATTATTCTTCTCCACATCACTTGACTGACTAAAAGTCTTGCTTTCGGCCTCAAGGTCAGCATGCTTTTGTTCACACTGAGATTGCTGGACAGATTGGCAAGTCAAAGATTCATCAACTGGACCCTGACCTGAATTAGCCTCTTTATGAGAGGCAGATGACAACTCCACACTTGCACTCCTGTTTGGCCCTCCCTTCCACATGTCACTAGCATGCTCCCAGTTCCTAGTCATTGGCATGTTCCTATACTGGTCCCACTCTGGCCTCCCATACATGTTAGTCTCATCACCAACAACCGAGCTGTTAGAATCCCAAGTATGAAATGGAGAGCAAGAAGTGTCCATAGGAGTTCGCCACCCTATAGCGCGTCCATGGCTAGAAAATCTATCAGCATCAGGCATATGGTAAGGGAGTCCAGAGTGATTCAAGTCCATAGAGGGCCTCACACCAAACATGGGTGGGGAAGGAAACTGTTGCATCACTGGAGGAAAAGTGACATGAGCTGGACTATGTTGGAAGATGAAACCATTAGCAACAGGGGAAGGCCAACTTGGGACCCCTCTCCAAGAATTTCCTTGGAATCTCCCAGCATTTGACTCAACACCACCCCTTCTATTCCGGCTGCCTGGCTTGCCCCTACAATCGTCTTCAGAAGATCCAGCCACTGAAGGATTATCAACTCCAGGCCGAAATGGGAGAAGAGGGGGCAACCTTGTGCTGCCTCCTGGGACGCCCCTGACAAAAGGTGAAGAAACAGATAAAGTGTCTCCATCTGGATGGACAAGTTCGTCGCCTGCAAATGCTTCCACAGGCAGATCACGATTTCCTCTACCTTCCCTCCCAGAGAAATCCTTGGCATCCTTCAAGCCACTTCTCAGCGCAAAATCTTCTACTTCGAGACTCCTCTTAACTTCAGGTCTACCTAGATGCCTGCGATCATTACTTGTTGATGAAGGGGACTTATCCAGCACTGGGTTCGAAGTGTTCCGGGGATCAGATTTCAGGCGTCTTTCAGCTGAACCATCTAATAAATAGTTGTCATCCTTTTGAGTAGCTTTTTCTGCAGACCGAGTTGAAGTAATTTTATCCAGCACTCCAGCAGATCCAGAATAATCTCTATTTCTCCGAACCCTTTCCTCATAAGTATGATCCCTGTACTTCGGGTCTTCTTGCTTGGATTGCCTGCGAGGAAGAAAAGGCATTAACAAAATTAGTTAAGCTGCTGTCTAATATGTTGAACAGTTAATAAATCCACAGTTAAAACATTTAAAATCAATTGGATTGAACAAAAATAAACTATTTGAATGCCAAAGAGATTCAGCTATGATTGCCACAAGAAAACATGTAATTCTCTTTTTATTTTCTATTCATGAGGATTAAGAGAGGTGTTAAGTGAAAGGTGTGTGATTGAAATTTGTTTGAAGGAAAAGAAAACTTGTGATGTCTCATTAATAGAAAAAAGAGAAGTGTGAAATTCATTTGGTGACGGACAAAAAAGAAGGTGTGAAGTTTATTTAGGGACGGATGAAATGTGTGTGTGTGTGCATGCACTTGCACATGTGTGTACATGTTCATGTGTGCGTGTGTACACATACGCACACACACCTTATGATAGCAAAAATGCACCATATTCTGTTTAGACAAACATGTATAAACATACCTATAATGATCTCTTGCAGTAAAAGGGCCACTACCAGGTGAACTTCTTCTCCTGCTATGGTTTGAACTTCGCTCTAGATCACTATTCCTCGAGGAAGATTTCCCACGGTCAGTAGCAGTTTCCAGCCGAGGAACAGTTCCAGCCCGCTTTTCTATGTCATACTGCTCTTTGGAACTTTGAAATCTAGAATCATTGCGATCCTCCTTATCGTCGGCTCTTCTCCTTCCTTGATCATCTCTATACCTAGATGCCCGATCATCATAATTGGGGCTGCTGTTCTCATGTACGTCTACTTTCCTAGAATGATTGTCTGTGGCATGAGTCTCATCTTTTGAATGCTTTGCCTCAGATCTATCTCCTGAGCGATCTCTTAGGGCGAGCTCATCCGTGTACTTCATATCCCTCAGCCTTTTGTCTTTATCGTAATCTTCTCCGTACTTTCCTTCCCGGTGCTTACTAGCCTTTTCAAAATCCGTTTGATACTTTTTTTCATTGTGCCTATCATCTCTCTCAACATCTTCTCCATATTTACTGTCCCTCGGTCTCTCTTCCTCACCATCTTCACGATATCTATCAACACGACGCTTAACATCCTTCTCTTTGTCTCTGTCTTCAAGGTATTTATCATCTCCACCCCTATCGTTATCTTCACGATACTTATCATCTCGATGCCGACTTTCTCTTTCTACTTCTACTCGGTACCCCTTGTGTCTGTTATCTCTATCTTCATGCTGGTGATATTTTTCTTCCCTATTTCTGTTATCTCTATCACCATCATCACGGTATTTGCCATCTTTACGTCTATTATCTCTACTACTATGACCATCTTCCCGGTACTTATCTTCACGCCGTCTTCTGTCCTTATCAGTTTCATACTTCTCTTCCTTATTATGTCTCTCATCTCTATCACCGTCTTCCCGGTACTTGTCTCTATAGCCTCCATCGTGATGCTTTGAATCTCTGTGTCTATCATCTTTAGTGCGGTCTCCAGCTCTTGAAGACATCTGCTTCTCGTCATTTTGGTCATCACCATCATATCTATCTCGATCACCAGAACTATCATGTCTCTTTCGCATCTTTTTCTCGGCATCTCTATCTAGATCAGAATGACGCACTTCACTCCGTACTGAACGATCTGTAACAACTAAACATTTATTTATGTAATAGAATGAATTAAAGAGCTTTATTGAGGAACCCTTATTAATATGAAGAAAAAAATACAGCAAAATGGCAGTCTAGAATTTAAAGATTTACTTAATCCCTAGGTACAAACACTAACTTGTCTTTCATCAAAGTCAACAAACTAGCTAATATGTCTCGTCCTAAATTATAAAAAGACTGCATTATGTACAAAATAACCAACTAAAATATGCTTATTTGAAAAAAATCTCACAACTGAATAGGATGCAATGCCAAGAAGAAAATTATAACACTTAGCAATACACAGGTCCCTACAATTAATGGCAGTTCATAAGCAACTAATTATATTTTTTCAAACATATCAGCAAAAAAATGATTTGTTCCTCCTAAAATATGCACAGTTGATCAAAAATTTGGATAAAAGATGGTGGGACAATATTTTTGTAGTCTCTCTATTATCTATAGTTGAGAAAATAGTTTGCTCATCCTTTATCTGTATGCCATGTTGAATAATGGTAACCCTATTCATTTCAGTGTAAGAGGTCGCAAATGAGTCAAAATGCAAAATGAACAAGACAAACAATAAATGTGCCAAGTGTTGTGGACTCCTGTCTTTCAAATAGTTTTGTTAACAAAGAAACTCTAAATCATTTATGTTCACCAAATAAATTATAGGAAAGATGCGGAGAAACGTTATAGAATATTCTGATACACATTATTATTTCAGGCTCCCTACATATACTTTGTTTTATTCAAGTGACAAAACAAATTGATCTGAACTATGTGGGTTGGAAATTTTAAATTGGGACAAGTATATTTAAGTATTTGACTTGCTAAACACAAATACCCAAGTAAAGTAGGATGCTTGTTGATATAATAATGTCAAAGTTAGAAGGAAATGTTAGTAGAAGGCTATTGGCCAAAAATGCATTACAAAAATACCTTACCAGTATGTTCTTTAAGGTGTTTTCCCTGCTTCTCCTCACCAACATCCCCTGACTGAGACCTTTGCTTCTTTTCTATGTCAGTTTCGCGCTTTCTCTCCCTTTCTGACCCATGATCCTTTTCTTTTAAAGTGGTGCTCTCTTTTCGAACAGAATCTACTTCTGGTTTCTTCCTTGACTCACTACTCTTGCCGCTCTTAGCATCTTCTCTCTCCATTCCTGACACTGAAATCTCCTCCTTTTTCACGCCTCCGCTTCCACTCTCATGCCTTTTACTACTTCTACTCCTTGAATCACCCAAAACTTTTGCTTCTTTCTGCCTCAATCCCTTTTCCTGGTCATTTTTTGAACTTCCAGCCTTGCCCTCCTTCTCCTCATGCCTATCGTCAACACTTTCATCCATACCACCATTCCATCTATCACTGCTAACACCACCGTCACCCTTTTCCTTCCGCCGCTTAGATGAAACATACTCCTCGGTGACCTCCCCATTCCCATAACTGCTCAGATCTTTTCCTTCTCTCCCTTCTCTCGCTTGTGAAGAAAATTTCCGCTTATCACCGGAAACAGAATGGCCCAAATCCTTTGAAGCCCTAGCAGAACTCTCCTCCTTAATGCTCCTATCCTTCATCTTCACATCTTCCTCCGAATCAGAATACTCCCTCTTCTCTTTCGAACTGTGCTTGCTCTGCTTATGAGATTTGCTCTTAGAACTCCTTGGCATGCCTGACTAATTTTCCAAATACAGTAAAAACACTCAATTGCTATTCAGCCAAAACCCTAGGTCTTGTCCGTTAAAAGCACAGCCGCCAAAACAAATCAGATTTAGTTCCAACAGACCAATGAGAAGCGGAACCCAAACTTCCTTGGCGGTTGAATGGCCGTAAAATCGATTTGACCTTTCAAATTGCCTCCTTGCGGCGCCGCGCAGATGCAGCCCAGTTGCGTTTACAGCAGAGTACGGGCATACAAACAAGGAAGACGCTAAATAGAAGGAGATCCAGGATTGATACAGCAAAATACAAAAAAGAAAAAAAGGAATCTGGAACCAGAGAGAGAAAAAGAGAGAGATCGGAGGTGAAGGGTTGTCGTTGATATTCGTGTTGGCTGCTCTTGGCAAAACAAAAACTGTGAATCGTATCGGGGCATCGCGGATAAGTGGACTACAGATGACCGAAAATGCCCTTCAGGTTAGACTTTCAGCCTCTTACTTAATGGTAATGGTTCAGATGTCTGAATGGTTCAGCACTTAATGGTTCAGACTGTTTGTTTCAGCCTCTTAATGGTTCAGATGTCTGAATGGTTAAGAGATTTGCCTCTGAATGGTTAAGTATTATACAGAGTCTGAATGGTTAAGACCTCTTATCTGAATTGATCAGACATTTGCCTTTGAATAGTTAAGCAATATACTAGCTCTTAATGGTTCAGACCTCTTACTGGTTCAGCACTTATCTATTCAGAAGTTGCCAAATAGCCTCTAACTTTGCAAATTGCAAGTACTTGCTCCATCCAGAATCAAAGTTCAAGTCTTAAAAACTGAAAATGAAAAATAAATAGTTGTAATTTATTCAGAAAATATTATAAGTCACAATTTCTTTCTTTTTTTTTTTTTGAAAGTCACAATTTCTTTCTTAGAAATTAAGAAAGTATATTAAACTTAATATAAAATATGTAGAGTATAAATTAATCTGTTTTAGAAGTCGAGAAGGTATATTAACTTAAAAGAAAAAAAATATCAATTAAGGCTTTATTTTTTTTAATTGTAAAAACAGATATGTATGTTGAAAAAAACTAAAAGATAAGTAGAAGAAGTTGTAAAAAATTGAAAAAAAATAAAAAAAACTAGAAAGAGTTGAAAAAACTAGAAAAGCGTTAGAAAAATTTGAAAGATTTGGAAGAAAAAAATTGGAAAGAATGAAAAAAATTGAATTGAGTTGATAGAAAAAAAGAATAAATTGAAAAAAAATAGGAAAGAGTTGAAAAAACAAAAATTACTGAGATAATTAATATATTTTCGAAATTTTATATTCTATTCAAATTGTATATACTCTACTTTTTCAATTTTTATCTCTTTTTATTTTCTTCTATGCCAGTAAATTTTTCTCCCATATTATATTAGTAATATTGTGTGACTCACATTTACTCAATTTTTTGTTTTGCATATAACTAATCCATGTAACAAAAGTAATGGGCAAATGAAGTAATACTTAGAGCACTGGAAATACGTATGAAGCCCCGGGGCTTCAAAACGGGGCTTCAAACTCTCTCCCTCTGTCACGTCAGCTTTAACTTACACCAAAAATTCACTGGAAATGGGTTTGAAGCCCCGTGGCTTCAAACTGGGCTTCAAACCTTCATTTTTTACATTTTTAAATATACATCTTCTAAATTTAAATTAATAAATTTAATTACTTTATTATTTAATTATATTGAAACAAGAATAATTAAAAAATTACATTCATTAAAAAAATATTACATCCATAAAAAACAACACTACAAAGAAATTACTAATTATTCGAGCGACTAAAAATATCTTCATTCAAATTCGAGTTGTAGTAACATATTGCAAACTGAAATAATTCATTAAATAAAAAATACAGTCAATAAAAAAAGTATGTTAAATTTAATAAAAAAACAAAACAAAATTACATTACTAAAAAAAATTTAAACAAAAAAATATTTCATTAAACAATAAAATATAGAGTAAAAAATTTATGTTTGTGTATTTTTTTTAAAGAGAAAGTGGGGGAGGCTTTGAAGCCCGTTAAACTTTTGAAGTAGAAGAAATGAAGCCCCTTTGAAGCCCCAAGGGGGCGGTGTTTGCTGCCCCTTTGGCGTTAAAAGAGGTAATAACGCACCGGGCGTTACGCCCATTACCAGTGCTCTTATAATTATTTTTAATTGAATGAAAAATTGAACATAAACAATGAAACAATGTCTCAGCCAACACAAAAGCAATCCTACATTTTCGTGTGATTACTTCATATGCAATGGAAATAAATAAGAGTTGCCAATCATTAAAATAGCATCGAATTATTGTTACTGCAAGAAATGGACAGATTTCCACGGAAAAAAATCTGTGGCAGAAATTTGAATTTCGTGGCGGATGAATAACCTGCCACATATCAGTGACGAAGTCGAGCTGTCGCAGAAAAGTTGTGGCAAATTTGAATTCGGCGACAGAAGAAAAGTCCTGTGGCAGAACTATCACAGATCTGTAACGGATTTATTTACGTTCTACCTTTTGATTTTCTATGACAGACTTATTTTCCGTGGCAGATCTGCCACGAAGTCTTCTTTCAATGTGCGAAAATGGTCTGCGACGTGGCAGATCCATCCCTAAAGGTCTGAACCTGCTCCCAGCTACAACATTTTCCCATTTTTTGTAGGCACTGAATATGGATCAAAATGCATTCACAACAAGGGACAAAATGCATTCACAACAGATTAACAAAATGATGTTTTTTACCTAAACTCAAAGAGCATTAGTAGAATTATAGAATCTCATACAAATATAACATAATTCATTGTAATCACATGTAACTTGAAATTCTCAATGTAAAGACAGTCCACATGAATATCTAAGTTACTCCGTCAAGATAACCTAACCATCTTGTATCGTAATTATCTCCTCGTAGAGGAGGGTTACCACCAAGTAGTCTCTTTAACTCCTCTTGGATGGTCAACGTCAAGCTCGAACTTAGATTATCAAATTCTTTCTACAGCTTTTCATTTTTCGCTCTTGGCTGAAAGTCGAGGTTTGAAAGACGGATTCATCTTCCTCATTTCATGCTCGTAGTCACCGACTCCAGGCACGCGGTTCTTCGCATTATGGCCCTCGACAAGTGAGTACCATATTTATTGGTAGGTGACTTTTAGCCTCTTCACTACTACAAAATAGACTTTACACAGCGGATATATATGACTTTTCCCATCGCTAAATATCCGATGTGCATGCAACCGATGGGAAAGCCTTCATGTTTACACAGCGGATAAATATCCGTTGTGTAAAGTTTACACATCGGATATATTATCCATTGTGTAAACGTTACACAGCGGATGTTTAACCGCTGTGTAAACAAGAAGGCTTTCACATCGGTTACATGCACAACGGATAGTTTGCGATGGGAAAAGCCATATTTATCCGATGTGTATTCCTTAAAAAATCTAAATAAGAACTATATATATATATATATATATATATTTATTTATTTATTTATTTATTTATGAAAGTATTTTTATTAAATGAAATAGAGAAACAAGTACAATAGGGGAGGACCAAACCAAAGCCCCTCGAGAAAAGCTAAAAACTATTCCCTACATCAAAAACATTGCCCAAATAAAAACCAAAAACCAAGGACTACATATCATAGTCAAACCTAGATAAACATACACCAAAGCTGGTAAAACAAAATTGAAACCAAACCCAAGAATTGATAACCAACAACCATATGTAGAAGCTAAATTCTAGGATAACCAACTGAGCTTGTGTGTAATAAATTGCATCATGAACCTGCTGGTGTTTGTAGCCTTGTTCTTCATTGCCTTCCTTGCATTGCTTCAGCTAGGACTGCCCAGGTTCTACTAGTTTGTTCATGGAGCTGTAATGGTTAAGTGCTGATGAATAGGACACAACCCATAACCTGGAATTGGCATTTGAGGTCTAAACCGGCTGGTCACTGGTTTTTAGACTCTGAATTCCTGAATTTTCAGTGATGGGCAGTGACACCTTTGGGTACCCACTGGCTGTTCATGATCTCTTTTATCCTTCAACACCTTTGGTTGATTATTTGACTTCATGGGGAGATTTGTGTTCATTGCCCAACATCTCTAGCCACACTACTACTTGGGGCTGCTGTTTTGAACTTGCGTTGGGGCTGTCTCAAAATGGATGGAGTGATGAACTGCTGGATGTGTTTTGGGGCTTTAGATGGGTTTGGGCAGTGAGCACAACTCTTGTTGTGGCAGGTGATACCTTGGGCTGAATTGGGCTTCTTTATCACGAGGTGCACCTCTTCATGTACTCTTAGAATAGCAACTTATGGAACCATTGTTGAGCCTTGAACTCCAATGTTTCAATACCACATAAGCGATGGATTCGAAGTAACCCCCTGGTATTTGAATTCTGTTTCCATCAAATAAGCTTGCTGATCTGATGGAGGAATGCTGAATGCTTCTTGTTTGAAACCTGATTTAAGCCTGTTTGGTGTTTGACTTGCTCGCTGGCCAGGTATGGGCGGGGCAGATTCTTGTGGTGCAGTTGTGGTACGGTGGCTCCTGGACTTCACCACCTGGGTTACCTTGTGACCTTACGTGGATGAGGAGGACATATCATGGCTGTTCCAACTATCTACAAAAACCTAAAACCAACAACATAACTGATTGAACTATAAGTCAACTGCATAGATAAATGAACCAACAGCAAACTGAAATCCAAACCTGATGCCAACTGAAAACCAGAAAACTATTGCCAACTGAACAAGCATGTGCCCAACTGAAAAACATCAGCCCACTAAACCAAAAGCAAATAATAATCCAAACCAGAAACCACTGCCAACTGAACCATAGAAAATCAGAGTGTCATTAGCAATTGAGATGAGATATTATTCAACATAAATAAGTAAAAAAATTAGAAATTAAAGTGTTGGAACTCATAGAACTTGAGAAAAAAGTAGCTCAGAAGTCACAAAATAGGTGTAATACTATAGTTTATATTCAACCATGGAAATATTTGCACATATAATGAACATAAAAGAAATCCATGAAAATATTTGCACATATAATGAACATAAAAGGAATATTCAAACATGGGATGAGATATTAAAGAAACCCTAGAAACTAAATCTTAATACATAAACTCAAAACCTAAAACATAAATTATAAACAAAAATAATTTTTTTTGCTCAATAAACATAAAGAATTAGAATCCCAAATCGAACAAAATTGAAACCAGCCTCTAACTCAAAATAGGGCCATAATTTGAAGAATAAGAAGAAGAAGACAAAGAAAAATACCTTCAGCAGTAGTCATGCATTTTGCAGCTTGGCTGATAGGTGTTTCTTTGAAGACAAATTAAGTGATGTTTTGTGGTTATTTTTGTTTGTATTCTTCTTCACTTTAGTGTCCCATAATAGTAAAAACAAAGAGGCACAACAAAATGCAGCGGCATAAAGCAAAGAAAACCATAGCACAAAGCAGTATTTAGAAAACGAATAACACAAAAAATGGCGAAGAACAAAGAATTCAAGGGTTCAACACTAGTAATTGAAAATGAAAGTCAACTATAAGCAATGAAAGGCCCCTAAATCATGTCCACAAAATACCAAAAAATTGGCGAAACCACAAGCTAAAACCTGAGAATTTTGGGATGGGCACCTCGTTGTGAACAGTAATGGCGAAACCCCAAAAGTGCTCCAATCTCGCAAATCTTTGAATGGAAATGAAAACTAACTTTAAATTATGAGAGATTTTACCAAGTCCCTTAAGATTCCCAACAAAAGGCCTTCAATTGAGCATGAACGAAGGGGAAATCAGACTTGTCGTTTTGAAGATGAACAGTCATGGCGAGGGAGTTACCCTTCAATTCAGCAAAATAAGGCCCCAAATCACCAAAATTGAGCTCGGAAATATGTTCCCCAGACGATTTCCATTCAACAGCAACAAGATTTACAGAAATCGATCCACAAAAACAATTGGAATTGCAATTTAGGGATGCGCAGGAAGAGGGGGAGTTGACGCTAGCGTAAAAATAAGAGGGATGCGCGAGTATAAGATTTTGAGTAGAGCTTTAGACATCGAATATGGTGAAATGCGATGTGTAAAAGTTTAAAAAGATTAACTCAACCCGCGGCTCTGGTTTGGTAAAGCACCCGATTAATAGATATTGGTTTAGACAGCGGTTTCCATATATCAGATGTTTAAAGTGCGCTGTTAAATAACAGTTTTGTAGTAGTGCTTTTTTCTAGCTTCCTCCAGCAATTCCAAGAATTGAGCATGCAACATATGACGATTCTATTCTATCCGTCGCAAATTTGCGATGAAAACACTTTGCCCGTCGCAGAAAATTTCTGTGTTTTCAACATCTATATACCTTTCGCACAAAAATGTATCCGTGATAGATTTCTATCACAGAACTAGCATTTTCTTGTAGAGTTAGGGAAATCAGTGTTTAGTCATGGACAATTATATGTTGCGATTTCGAGAGTAACAAATCGTTATAGCTTGAAGATTCTTATTAACAATGTAGAGCATGTTTCCACAAGATGTACCACTAATCTAGTTTATAAAAACTATGTTTTGGAATTTTTAATTTATATGATATTTATGTTTTACATAAATGAAAAACATTAAGGTGAAGGGGAAAGATGAACATTGTTTTTTCCTGCCTAAAGTTATGGGTAACGGATTGCGTATTAATTTTCGTGTATCTGAATATGTAAAGAAGAAAATGAGTCTAATTCGTGAAAAGGATGTTACGGTTAGGCTTTTTATTCTTTGGTACCCGTGGAAAAATAAAGGCTAAAAGAGATATTTATTGAGCCATGAACCAAAAGTACAATGCATTTAATGCACTTAAGAGGCACGCCTATTGGGAGACGAAATTTAACGGTTTGGCTACTCTTTTCACGTATTCCAATGTAAAGACATGAGTACTTTCTCACTACTCTTTTAATGTATTCCAATGTAAAGATATCATTACTTTATGAGAAAGTGTAAAAGTTTTTGAGAAAGAGTAAAAATTTATGGAAAAGTATAACTTAAATAAATACTTTATGACAAAGTGTAAAAGTTTATGGGAAAAGTTAAAGCTTATGAAAAAGTGTAACATAAATAAACACTTTATAGGAAAATGTAAAAGTTTATGGGAAAGAGTTAAAGTTTACGGAAAAGTGCAACTTAAAAAAAAACTTTATGAGAAAGTATAAAAGATTATGGGAAAGTGTAATAATTTAAATAAATACTTATGGGAAAGTGTAACAGTTTATGAGAAATAATAAATGCATTTAATGCACTTAAGAGGCACGCCTAAAGGGAGACAGAATTTGACAGTTTGACCACTCTTTTCACATATTCCAATGTAAAGACATCGCTACTTTCTCACCACTCTTTTCATGCATTACAATGTAAAAAAATCATTACTTTATGGGAAAATGTAAGAATTTTTGAGAAAGAGTTAAAGTTCATGGAAAAATATAACTTAAATAAATATTTTATGGAAAAGTGTAAAATTAAAGTTTATGGGAAAGAGTTGAAAGTTATTTAAAAGTGTAACTTAAATAAATACTTTATGTGAAAGTGTAAAAGTTTATTGGAAAAAGTTAAAATTTATGAAAAAGTGTAACTTAAATAAATATTTTATGAGAAAGTATAAAAGCTTATGGAAAAAAGTTAAAATTTATGAAAAAGTGTAACTTAAATAAATACTTTATGAGAAAGTATAAAAGCTTATGGGAAAGTATAATAATTTAAATAAATACTTATGAGAAAGTGTAATAGTTTATGGAAAATAGTAAAAATATGGTATGACTTTACACGAAGAAGCGTGTGATGGGGTTTTGATAATGTCAAAAGCTTTGGACCTGTTTTCATAAAATAAACATCACTTTTCTAGGGTTATTTTCAAACCACATCTCATCCTCAAGCTTTGTGTTTGACTTAGGGGTGAGCATGGTACGATATTTAACTCGTACAGATACCGTACCAAATATTTTGGTTCAGTATAGGATTTTACTCCGTACCGATCTCAATCCCAAAATATCGGTTTGGGCTTCGGTTTCGGTACAAATCAGGATGAATATACATGCCTACTTTACACCTCAAAATTTAACAATGCTCATTTTAATTTTGAAAATTAAAAGTGAATTTAAATTAAAAAACATAAAAATTAAAAAAAATAAATATTTAAATGCAAGAGATGCGTATCAAAACTTAGTTTATATTTTACAAACTAAAAAAATGAACGATAATAAAGAAGTATTTCAAACCTTTGTGAATATTTTAATGTTCACACACAAAAACTAAAACCCAAATAAAAGTATAATTTACACATAATAGAACTTGAACCCTTTTTTTAAAATTATTATTTAGTGAAGGAATATAAAATATTACACCAAGGCATTATTTTTCTTATCATATTTTAGTATATATGTTCGATTCGGGATTTTCGGTATGAGACGTCGCATCGTACCGTTCTTAAATACCGTACCGACTATTTGGTTTGGTACGGTTCGATTCCTTCTCGGTACTTTTTTGGTTTGGTGTTTTTCGATTCTGTATTCTCAGTCTTTTCAGGAAATTTTGGCATCGATTCAGTACTTGCTCACCCTTAGTTTGACTTGACATTTTAATTGATTATGTTATTGTACGCTATTTTTGTTCAATATTTATTTTAACTTGATTTAGAAATATAGTGTACACAGAAGGCTTTCAAAACATTTAATTTCGTTTTTTGTCTTCACTATGCATTTCTCAATATTAGTATGTACCGAGTAATACTTTTAACGTTTATATTGAATACAATTTCGTTGTGTTGTCTTTATATACACTATAATTTTTTTTTATTTCCTTTCATTGACTCAAAATATTATCCGTGCAACTCACGGGTTAGAGAACTAGTAAGTAAAAAGAATAAGGCTACGTTCCGTTCGACTTACTTTTTCTGATCTTATCTACGAGTAGTTTTTTGTAGTTCTTATCTGATTTGATCTGATCAGATTTGATTGGATCTGATCTGATCTGATTGAATCTAATTTGATTGAATCTGATCTATTCTGGTCTGATGTTATTAGATCTGATCTAATCTGATTGTATCTGATTTGATCTGATCTCTTCTAATCTGATCTGATTAATTATGATTTGATTTAAAATTCAAATCAATAATTTGATTTGACTTTATAATAACGTTTGAAAATTTTAATGATAATTCATATTATAATATAATCAATATTTTTATTCTATGATTATTTTGTAATAAAATAAAATTAGTTAATTCATTTATTAGAATAATCATTCATATTATAATGTAATACTAGTAATATTTTTTATTTTATGATTATTTTTTGTGAAATAAGAATATTGATATAATATTTTAATAATTAGCTCATATATACATTAGAATAAATATTTATTTTATATATACATTAAAAAGTAATTAAATTTAGTTAATCAATATAGAGAAGAGATACTGAGTAGTATTTTTATAAAAATATTTCGTCCTTTTAAAAGATCAAAACTTTAGAAATACTCCGTATCAAAGTACAGGTAGCAATAAAAATGTTTTTTAAAAGTAGTATTAGATTGACATTGTCGATGTATTTTAAAAATAATTTTTCCGGCGTCTAATATTTAAGGATTACTTTTTCAGTTTTCTATTTAACTTGTTTCTAAAGTTTATTCTTTTTCAGCTTTAAGAATAATAATAGTAATAACAACAACAATAATAATTCTTGATGGGATCTGATCTGATCTGATCTAATTAGATCTAATCTGATCTGGTTGGATCTGATCTAGTATGATTAGATCTAATTTGATTTAATTGAATTTGATCTGATTTGATTGAATCTAATCTGATTTGATTGGTTCTAATCTGATACGGAGTATGATATAATCTAATTTTATTAAGAATGAGAAAAAATAAGAAATACGGAGTAATAATTTAAAAAGTGGAATTGCCCTAACTCCAAAACAAAGCTACGGAGTATTTCGTCCCTTTTTTGTTCTTCTTTTTTTAAACTTCAAGAACATTATTGCCCTTCACAAGCTACGAATTGAAAGGACGGGCAGACATGGGTGGTGGTGCTCATGCCTTGAAGAGAATCCCGCGCATCAAGTTTCCCCAGCGACATCTTAAGCCTTCTGGTATACCGATACGCTTCTAGATTCAAATCACATATCTGATTTGCTATATAGTAATTCGTATCTTTTTTTGAGTTTTTCTTTTTGTTTTTGTATATATGTCTGTAACTGTTACTAGGGTTTCGGTTGATTCATGTTCTATATATGGTTTCTGAAATAATATACTCCGTACTCCGTATCTGCTAAAATATGTGATTCAGTATATCTGTTCTAGAATTTTTGTATGTTTGTTGGAAATTGAGGAAATTGTGCATTGATATTATTGTTTAACGGAGTACATGCTTGTGGAGTTTGGAGTCCTTTTTCGAATAGATAATGGTAAGTGGGCATGTGAAAGGGTTAGTTGGCATTGAATTCTGTGATAACTTAGAATGGCTTTGTGAATGATTGCTATAAAAATTGTTTTGCTAAGGATTATTGATAAGGCGAATTTATAGCACTTTGATACACTTTTTTTTCTCAAAAAGATGCATATATTGCTCTTTTATTTTACTCCGTTCATCCCCACTTACCTTCCCCAGTTGATTGATGAACAAATTATGCACAAATTTGTACAGAGAGATTTTTTCTGTCAACCTTCCTTAAATGCCCCCAAATGTAGATTTGTTTTTTGGCTATGAATTTAGTTGACATGAGGACATGAGGACCTTTTTCAGGGACAACCATATAAGGAAAGTGGGAACTTAATTGGAGGAAGAATCATCTCTTTTGGCAAGTAGTGGCATTTTTACACCAAAAACGCTCCTTTTCTAGAAAATGGGGAATAAAGGTGCGATAAATACATTGAATAAACTTCCCTTAGGATTGTTATTAGCAAAACCCTACTACAAAAAAAGACAACATCACGCCTTGTCATGTTGTGTCTTGTACTTGTTATATAGAGTATTTGTTTTCATTTATAATGAGGGTTTGAGATGTAGCTGCTCTTGTGTCAGCTTACGTGATTGGTTCTAAATGCTGCAATGACAACCTAATTCTGCTTTTGTTCTGTGAGATTTTATTCCAAGCCAAAATACTCGTGAGAAAATGTTTGTCCCCACTTCAAGGGCTCATTTTGAGTATTAAATTTAAAATTTAATTCTAAGCAGTAGGCACCTACGAAATTTAAATGCTCATTCTGAGCTTATGAAATTAAAAAATTAATCCACAGCACCCGCAAAAGCTCAAAATTTTAAAAATCTAGTGTGCCTTCTTACTTAATGGATGATGAATCATTATTCATAGCTTATTTAGGATTAAGGGTCTGAATTTTTTTTTTGAGTACCAAAACAAAGTGAAATAGACTCCCTGTAGGTGACCCACTTGTTTGTGTCACGTACTCTTGGATTAAGGGTTTGACCCCCAGTCCCCCACCCCAAGTTCCAAACTTGTACAGATATCTTGGTTTTATTTTGAAAGGTTTTACTGTTTTGAGTAGTTTATTAATTGTAGCTTCTATGCAACTTAGCTACTTGCTATGTTGCACGGATGCTTCAAATTAGAGCTGCTTTCCATCCCCAAAATGTCCCCATTTGGGTACTTGGGAACATCCTGGCACCCAAATCCTCTGTAGCAGAACTGTTAATAATGACGTAAAGGTGGTTAGTTTTGAATATATGAAGGATTGCCAATGATGATCATTCACTTTTAAATTGAACATTCAATTCATCTAAGGTGACAAAGTATGAGGACTGAGCACTAGAAAAATTTGTTCATTCGTGATTGTCATTTGTTGACTACTATGCACTGTTCATGTCCTGTATGCACTAGAAATTATTACCTATATTGGCTCCCTTGCAATTTGTTTTCTAATTATATGGGTAATTAACATTCTCTGACCATTTCTCCTCATGGGCTTATATCATGACCTAGGAAGTTGGAATTCCCAAAACAAACTTTTTTCATATTTGTTCTTACTTTATATCCTCACGGTACATATGCCACTGTTTAGTTGACCAATAAAAATGAAATTAGGTTCATTTTGAGGGGATAATTCTTGTTGGAATGAGAGAAATGGCTGAATTATATAAAAATTATTTTGAAGAGGTGTTTTATAGAGAAAGAAATAATATGTAAAAGATCAGGAAATAATATTCGTTCTAGTTTTTCTAAATAATTTCCGGACTAGTTTAATTATTCATCAGCTTGTACAACTAATGATCCTGAATAAGTTAGTGTTTGATAGAAAACCTTACTAATATGAATTGTAATTTATAACAATGATAGGACAAATCTAGATGCTTGCACAACAGAAACTTGGCTTACCTTTTTCCCTTGTTCTCATGTAGTACATTGCTTTAGTCCCTTTCTCTTATGCAGTAAGGGCAGCTAGGTAGTGTCAAAACACTGAAGATTTCAGTTTTCTGTTAGTTAAACTGGTCTAATGCACTTAATCTTATATAATCATTCACACTGTGCAAGCTGCTTGCCATCTATGTACCTGGTCTTTACTCAACCCATTATCAACTTGTCAAATTATGGGTTGGCCATTGATTACTTATTTCGAAAATCTCCTTCAACAACAACAAACAAACAACCCAATGTAATCCCACAAACCCTACTAAAAGTAGAGGTTGTTTCCAAGAGACCCCATCTCAAGCAATATAGAGAGCAGGTAGCCAACAAAAAGGATCAAAGACCAAACTGAGGAGAAGGAAAGCACAATAAGACAAAATACATAAACATATGCAATGAGAAAGACCCCAAGCCTACAATACACAAAATGCTAAGGACAAAAACTAGCACCCCGGTCCAAATGGCTATCCAACTACCCTAATCCTAGATCTAAACATTCTTATTTAAACGTCCCTATCTAAGGTCACATCCTCAGTAACAGCCAAAAGTTCCAACTCTTTTCTAATCACCTCCTTCCGATTCTTCCTAGGTCTACCCCTTCCCCAAACCCACCTACTATCGCAAGCCTCTCGCATACACACTAGACCTTAGTTGCACGCCACTTCACGTGACCAAACCATGACAACCTAGTCTATTGCGACTTATCCTCCACAGTTTATCCTTCAATGCTCGAAAAAGGGGCAAAACGAGCAGATGTAGGTTTGAGAATAAAAATGAATTCTCGATGTTTGGAAATGCATATATTTTCTGTGTTTAGTTACATGTTCTATTAAATAAAAAACTGACCCTGCATCATTGTAAAAATGAATGTGATTTTTCGGCAGGTTTTACTTCCCAACATGAGACAACATCTGCATCTAAGGATGCTCCTCAAACTTTTTTCTCTAGGCCTTCCTCTAACGCGAGTGTCGGAGGAAAAGCTTCTGATCAACCCAAAAGAACGCCAGTGTCTCAAGAGGAGATAGATTATATTATGGTACGCATGAACCTTTTTTTGCTGATTATATGTGGTTTATCAATATGGGTCTCAGGCTGTTAGATCTGCTCCCCCTCTCAAACCCATGGGTAGCATCCGGTGAATCAACATATGGAGTATTTGTTTAAGGAGAGTAATAATGGACTCTTTTTTATTTCGCAGCTGGGTGGCTGTTCGTGAATCTGGATGGGAGATTTGGAGACAGGACTTAGTACAATAAACTTTTTCATACACTATGTGTAAGGAAGATTGTGTTGCACCACATTCCTTGGTTTAAGCAATGATCTTCTCTCTAAAAAACATTATTGACTGATTTTTTTCTGTGCTTTATAGACATTCTATCTTGGAGTTATAGATGCATTTGTCTGTCATTTTGAGCAAATGGCCTCTATTTTATTGAAAATAGCTCAATGGTGCATTAGTTACGGGTCCATTTGGCCGGAGTAGAATTTGAAATAAATTATTGAAGTGGCCAATGTACCGAATTTGATGGTATTCTGGTGGGAGTGATTGCATTAATTGAATAATGTGAAACTTATTATGTGACAAGACTATAAGTGCAATTTAAAAACGAATTAGAGAGTACGTCCTGGATGTACAAGTCTTAACAGACTACTTAGAGTCATATGTAACAGTATGAACTTCGCTAACCTTAGCATTGTCGTTTTGTATTATAGAAACACAGAATGCATTAGAAATTGTGTACTTAGGATTTGTAGTCATTTGATTGAGGATCATCTCACACTCGCATGCTATGTTTATTGTGAAAAAACAACTTTGCCCCAACTTAAGCTACTAGAAAAAGGACATGTTATCTTTTGGGTATGAATCTCGCTAATTGATGATGATAAATGAACACTAGCTAGAGTTGGGTTTTGTCACTTCATTACTCTCATTGCTGAAGTTAGTGAATGCAGTTATTTGTGTCTCATGAGGCACGCACTAGATGCATTTATTGCACCAATATCACATAGTAAAATTTGCACTAAATAGGATTAAAACATAATGACTTTTTCAATGTAGGACTTAAACTTTTTTATTCCCAAATAGGACTTAATAATGACCTAGTCGGAAGAATAATGTCCAGTAATGATAGACATTTACTTGAATAATGATTATTTGATAATGACCCAAAGTCCTACATTGAGAAACAAAAACATATAATCCTATATTGGAAAACTCATTATATTTTAGTCTTATTTAAGTAAATTTCTCATATCACATATTCACATGTAGTTTGGTAAATGCGCTCCGTTGTCATTTATAGTTTTAAAACTTACGTTGTTGTTCTTCATGGTTCTGATATTCGTGCGCCAATGCTCCTTTAGATTAAAATACCCTTCAAATATTATGTAAATAGCTTCATTCCCCCCCCCCTATGGTATTGGAAATGGGTTCTATTGCTTCTTCTCTTTTTTTCTTTATTGTTCTTCTTTTTTCTTCTCTTTTTTCATAAATGTTTTTTATTTTTTTAAAACTATTTGTTATAATGTTTTAAATATTAAAATTTTGTGTTAAAAAATCAATGAAATAAATAGAATTAATGTACACTTCATTTGTCTGAAATTATACATTTTCATTTTTTGTCCCAAAAGGTCTTTATTACTCTAGTTAATTTTTCATGAAACAAAAATCAATGTTTCATTTCCTCTTTTATTCAGTGAAGCTCATTTTGCATTTTTTATTCATTTTTTGTTTTTTCTTTTATTTTTTGTTTTGCTTTTCTTGTTTTTAAATTTAATTTTTTTATTTTAATCAAAATTAAAATTGAAACAAACGAAAAAAGAATGGAAAAGAAAAAAAGAAAATTAGAAGTATTTGAAAAAATACCTTTATAGAAACGATTCAAATTAAATCATGAAGAAAATTTGTTGGACATCAGTGCAAAAACTTTTTATGAATATATAATTGACTTAAAATTAAAAAGATCTTACTAAAAAATAATAAGTTTTTTTAAACAAAAAATAAAAATATGTTAATTTTTTATTTTTTGAAACAATTTAAAAAATAATTTTGAAAAATAACTTACAAACGTTGAATAAAAAAGAGAAGAAAAAAATAAAAAGGGTATTTTAGTTTAGGGGGCATTGGCGTAGAAAAATAAAAATCATAAAGGAAAGTTTTGAAACCATTAAGGACAATGATGCATATTTACCATAACACATGAGATATTGATGCAATAAACTCCACATTAGAATCCTCTAATCCAATCAAAGAAATCAAGAGTGAAGAATAAAATAAAGTATTAAGATTTTTTTTTCAATCAAAGAGAATATTTAAAAAACGATGAATATAAGCATGAGATTTTGACATTATTAATTTTATTTTACTTTTTTTGAGTCAATAACATTAAAAAAATTTGTAACAATTTTTAAGGCAATGTTTTATGCACCTGATCTGAATCTAATAAGTTATCTGATCTTAATATAGTTATATTTAAAACTAATTCTGATCTGATCTGACTATAATATGAATAAGTATAAGAAAAGTAATACTCAATAATAATAAGTATTATCTCTGTCCTAGAGGGTCATCTAATTTGATTTTTTCGAGTCAAATTGGACAAATTTTAAGCTTTAATAAAGTAAAAACTATAATGTGTATTAGTATAAAAATGATTTTAATATATTTAAAACGGATGAACCTCTTATCTCGACATCTAAATTTAAAGAGTGTTTCTTTGGTGCATCTTGGGTACATACCATTTTTGTGGATCTTCTCACATAAAAAACTTTTTTGTTTTTTTAATTAAAAAAATAGAGGGTTATTTAATTAATAAGGAAATACTTAGTTTTCTCATACGTAAGTCTATGGTGGACCTTAGATCCACCATAGAATTTTCCAAATTTAAAATATATCGAGTGTGTCCACCATATTAATTTATGTGGTATTTGCTTACATTGTTTATAATATCTTATACATATAATTCGTTAATACACAAAGGTAATTGTTGTATTATCATCTTTAAAAAACTTAAAAGCATGTGTTATAGAAGATAGATCAATTCTCTTTTGTCTCTTATGCACTTGAAAGCGCGATGAAGTGTACATATAAATATTTCTTGATTGAAGCATTGAGATAACTTCTTGGGGAAAAATTACTCAAAAAATTAAATATTTAATTCAGAATAATAAGAATACCATTTGCCACATCACAAAGTACATCTTTCTCTAACGTGTTCGATCATGCGAGACTATAGCCGATGACGATCCCTCTTTTTATGTATCTGTAATAACCATCATAAAATAGATACTGTAAATATTTTTATCTAAAAACTTTAAACATGAAAAATTTCTATTATCCAATAATATTTGTCACCTTGTGGTTGACGGTCGGATGAATAAATAAGTAAGAGTATTACTTATTTATATTATTTTGACAAAGATGTAGAAATAAACATATTTTTTATTTTTAAGAATTTTATTTGATAGTAATTACACTTATAATAATTAATATTATACCATAAATATTTCGATTAATTAAGAACAACAATTAATAATTAATTTCTTACACATAAAGACTCTCGTTCCAAGTAGTGTTCATCATTTTACAAAGTTATTAATGGAAAATAGTAATTTTGTGACATGAATTTATAAATTTTTACAAAACTAGTAATAGAAATAATAATTTAAAAATGGAAAATACTAATTTTAAAATAGAACATACTTGCTATTTGACTTAGAACTCTTTTAATATATATGGAATATCTACATATATATCAACTCTTTTATATATTTATTTAGTATATGGAAAATACTAACTCTTTTTATATATTTATTTCTATTTTTTCAAAAAATGGAAAAATCTCTCCAATTAGTATTAATTCAAAGTAATCATATATCATATATCATATATCATATATCATATATCATATATCATATATCATATATCATATATCATATCATCATATATATCCTTTATTATAATAAAAGAGACTCCGATGAACGAGGATGCGACATATGACACGCTTATATGGCAAAAAATTGGACAAGTCATCATGCTTATATGGCAAAAAATTGGACAAGAGAAAACTTAATAGGAAATTTGACACTGCCTGCGCACCAGGGGATAATTGACCGCATATTTTGAAGGTCATTGCTGGTCATCGGCTCATCGCTGGTCACTTGAGGAAATTTGCTGGTCATCGCTGCATTCAATTCCGTAATTTCCTTTGACGTTCGCAGGCGGAAGATCTGCCGAGATGGCTGCTGAATTTCGAATCATCACTGCCCTTCAATTCCAAAAATTCCTTCGACGTTACCTACAGGAAATCTTGCGAGATGATTACTGAATAATTTCGAAATCAAAAAACTCCTTTCCCTATGTTCGCATGCTGAAGATTCGGTATATGATTCCAAAATCCGCTGGAGATTAGGGATTTCCGTATGTGAGAAATCAAACGCGAGATTATGCCTTCAAAATTTGGTAAGTCCGATTCACAAATTTTGCCTTGGAAAGTCCTATTCACGATTATGATTTAGGTACCAAATTTATGAGATTTCTTAGTTCTTTGAGTATATATATCACGTTGGCCTAAGTTCATTTCAATTGGGTTCTTCTTCATTCGAAAATTTTTCCTTGGAAAGAAAACTACAAGTAATTTGTTTGTTAAATCGTCATGTCTCTCAAGCCCATTCACCCTTTATCAAAAATCAATCCGACAAGTGAGTGTTGGAGGATTTGTGTTCGTGTGATACGGTTGTATACGCTGCCTGCCTTCAATGATAACAAAGCAATAAACTCAATGATAACAAAGCAATAAACTCAATAGAGATGGTATTCCTCGACGAACACCTAAGTATATATATCATATCTTAAATATTTATACAAGTTTAGCCTCTGTTCCAAGTTTTTATATATTTCAAGTTTTACTTCAACTAATGTTTTTGTCTATATATTGAACTGATGATAAGTGTCTTTCTTTAACCAATATTTTAATTTGATTAAAAAAGGTATATATTCATTAAAAATTTTTTAAAAGAAATCCTGTTTTGCTGATGTGCATAGAGATGTCACCTACACTCCTGTGTGGAATAAACTTACCGTTATGTTCTTAAACACAAATTTTTTTCTTTAGCTTATTTGTGCTTTGCTTTGTATTCAATGTCTGCAGCATGTATGTTAGTATGTGTATGTGTAGTCTGGTGTAGTGCTACTGCTGTGTTTGTGACTTGATTTTGTGGAGGGGTTACTTATGAAGTAAAATGTCACAGAATGTAATTTTAACAAATTTAAAATTTTATCTGTACAATGCTTCAATCAGGGAATAATTGTACACCTATCTCATCACAGTTGCATGTGCAAAAGAGACAAAGAAGAATCGATCTATCTTTTGTAACACGTGTAATACTTTTTTATGAAGATAATATTAGTTCTGATGTAAATGTGTTTAAACCAGGATCAATTTAGAGGAGATATCATGAGCGGCTTAGAGGAATTTGTTATGAGAGGTGATACTAAATCCGTAGCCTCTG